TGCCTAAATATGCACAATATGCTAATATATAACAAGATTAATTTATATTTGAGAAAATTCCTGTTTTGAATGAACAGCATTAAAGTTTGTGAATGCGTTTTTGGGGGTCAACCGCTGGATGGAATGGACTTAGTTTGAGGAGGGGTTGCATGAGGACGGGCTGGAGCAAGGGCATACCTGAATCATGCCTGGAGAGGGTTCTGGGAGTTCTTCTACTCCTCCGAGCCCTGCCTGAGGCCAGGATCGAGGAGTTTGCTACTGGAATGGTTCCATAAAGGAAGCAGCTCCCTTGCGACACAAGACTGAGAAAGTTCAAGCCCACAACAAAGAGGTTATATGTTTGAGACCTAAACTGTTAAGGGATTGTCAGTACAAGACGCTGTGTTTGAGATGGTTGACACCGAGAGTGTCTGGATCACAGTGTTATACTCTGACAAGCTCCGAAGACGTACGTAAGCATTTCTTCAGTGTCAAAAATATATATGATTCGTTGCAGAAATGTCTGGCGGGAGTAGCAGATAACAAGTACATAATAACCGGGGCTCATTAGCTGAAGCGTGACCCTGTGAACTCGGCTAGAGTAGAACACGTGCACATGCTGACACATTTTCTCGTGCTCATTCCAGACACAAATTTCTCATCACGATCTCATATCAACAATTTGTTCCTTGTTAAGCTGGCGACTGATGGAGGTGGCAGACCTCCGGATAGCTTATGCCCCTTCTCCTCCCTTTCTTAACCTTTGGTAGAGCAGGAGTTAGGATTAAGCCTGCCATGCCCTTATGCCTGCCATTATATGCAAACATATAATGGGGGAGCCGGTCGGCCGAGCGGACAGCACGCTGGATTTGTGATCCTGTGGTCCTGGGTTCGATCCCAGGCGCCGGCGAGAAACAATGGGCAGAGTTTCTTTCACCCTATGCCCCTGTTACCTAGCAGTAAAATAGATACCTGGGTGTTAGTCAGCTGTCACGGGCTGCTTCCTGGGGGTGTGGAGGCCTGGTCGAGGACCGGGCCGCGGGGACACTAAAGCCCCGAAATCATCTCAAGATAACCTCAAGATAACCGTCCTCAGGCCAGGCTCGTTAAAGTTGCGACCATTCCCAGAGATGAATTCATCAATTGTAATGAATTGTGTATTTAAAATAGATTTGTTCTCATATAATAATATTATTATATATTAAAGTTCTGTGTATAGTTAGCCATTGGTTAGGTTTGGTTACGTTATGTTGGTGATAACTTACATTTAGAGAACTTGGGTGAAACATCTAGATTTTTACAGATGTTGACCAGACCACACACTAGAAATTGAAGGGACGACGACGTTTCGGTCCGTCCTGGACCATTCTCAAGTCGATTGAGAATGGTCCAGGACGGACCGAAACGTCGTCGTCGTCCCTTCACCTTCTAGTGTGTGGTCTGGTCAACATACTTCAGCCACGTTATTGTGACTCATCGCTTTACAGATGTTGTCAGCGAATCACTGTTCGAGAAATCTTCGATCATCATCAGCTGTGAATCGTGTGAAAACGGTTTTCCATTCAGAAACACGGGGTTTGGCTGTTGACTTAACGAGCATTTGGAACCTGTTAGATGACCGGCAGAGAGTGTGAGAACCTGTTAGATGACCGGCAGATGGTGTGGGAACCTGTTAGATGACGGGCAGAGAGTGTGGGAACCTGTTAGATGACCGGCAGAGTGTGGGAACCTGTTAGATGACCGGCAGAGTGTGGGAACCTGTTAGATGACCGGCAGAGTGTGGGAACCTGTTAGATGACCGGCAGAGTGTGGGAACCTGTTAGATGACCGGCAGAGTGTGGGAACCTGTTAGATGACTGGCAGAGTGTGTGGGAACCTGTTAGATGACTGGCAGAGTGTGTGGGAACCTGTTAGATGACTGGCAGAGTGTGTGGGAACCTGTTAGATGACTGGCAGAGTGTGGGGGAACCTGTTAGATGACTGGCAGAGTGTGGGGGAACCTGTTAGATGACTGGCAGAGTGTGGGGGAACCTGTTAGATGACTGGCAGAGAGTGTAGGAACCTGTTAGATGACCGGCAGGGAGTGTGAGAACCTGTTAGATGACTGGCAGAGAGTGTGGGAACCTGTTAGATGACCGGCAGAGAGTGTGGGAACCTGTTAGATGACCGGCAGGGAGTGTGAGAACCTGTTAGATGACTGGCAGAGAGTGTAGGAACCTGTTAGATGACCGGCAGGGAGTGTGAGAACCTGTTAGATGACTGGCAGAGAGTGTGGGGGAACCTGTTAGATGACTGGCAGAGAGTGTAGGAACCTGTTAGATGACTGGCAGGGAGTGTGAGAACCTGTTAGATGACTGGCAGAGAGCGTAGGAACCTGTTAGATGACTGGCAGGGAGTGTGAGAACCTGTTAGATGACTGGCAGAGTGTGTGGGAACCTGTTAGATGACTGGCAGAGTGTGGGGGAACCTGTTAGATGACTGGCAGAGTGTGGGGGAACCTGTTAGATGACTGGCAGAGTGTGGGGGAACCTGTTAGATGACCGGCAGAGTGTGAGAACCTGTTAGATGACTGGCAGAGTGTGGGGGAACCTGTTAGATGACTGGCAGAGTGTGGGAACCTGTTAGATGACTGGCAGAGTGTGGGGGAACCTGTTAGATGACCGGCAGAGTGTGAGAACCTGTTAGATGACTGGCAGAGTGTAGGAACCTGTTAGATGACTGGCAGAGTGTGGGAACCTGTTAGATGACTGGCAGATGGTGTGGGAACCTGTTAGATGACGGGCAGGGAGTGTGGGGGAACCTGTTAGATGACCGGCAGAGAGTGTGGGGGAACCTGTTAGATGACTGGCAGGGAGTGTGAGAACCTGTTAGATGACTGGCAGAGAGTGTGGGAACCTGTTAAATGACCGGCAGGGAGTGTGGGGGAACCTGTTAGATGACCGGCAGGGAGTGTGGGGGAACCTGTTAGATGACCGGCAGAGAGTGTGGGGGAACCTGTTAGATGACCGGCAGGGAGTGTGAGAACCTGTTAGATGACTGGCAGAGAGTGTGAGAACCTGTTAGATGACTGGCAGAGAGTGTGGGAACCTGTTAGATGACCGGCAGGGAGTGTGGGGGAACCTGTTAGATGACCGGCAGAGAGTGTGGGGGAACCTGTTAGATGACCGGCAGAGTGTGAGAACCTGTTAGATGACTGGCAGAGAGTGTGGGGGAACCTGTTAGATGACCGGCAGAGAGTGTGGGGGAACCTGTTAGATGACCGGCAGAGTGTGAGAACTTGTTAGATGACCGGCAGGGAGTGTGGGGGAACCTGTTAGATGACCGGCAGAGAGTGTGGGGGAACCTGTTAGATGACCGGCAGGGAGTGTGGGGGAACCTGTTAGATGACCGGCAGAGAGTGTGGGGGAACCTGTTAGATGACCGGCAGAGTGTGAGAACCTGTTAGATGACCGGCAGGGAGTGTGGGGGAACCTGTTAGATGACTGGCAGAGTGTGTGGGAACCTGTTAGATGACTGGCAGAGTGTGTGAGAACCTGTTAGATGACTGGCAGAGAGTTTTGGAACCTGTTAGATGACTGGCAGAGTGTGAGAGAACCTGTTAGATGACTGGCAGAGAGTTTTGGAACCTGTTAGATGACTGGCAGAGAGTGTGAGAACCTGTTAGATGACTGGCAGAGTGTGTGGGAACCTGTTAGATGACTGGCAGAGAGTGTGGGAACCTGTTAGATGACTGGCAGAGTGTGTGGGAACCTGTTAGATGACTGGCAGAGAGTGTGGGAACCTGTTAGATGACCGGCAGAGTGTGTGAGAACCTGTTAGATGACTGGCAGAGAGTGTGGGAACCTGTTAGATGACTGGCAGAGAGTGTGGGAACCTGTTAGATGACCGGCAGAGTGTGTGAGAACCTGTTAGATGACCGGCAGGGAGTGGGGGAACCTGTTAGATGACTGGCAGGGAGTGGGGGAACCTGTTAGATGACTGGCAGGGAGTGGGGGAACCTGTTAGATGACTGGCAGGGAGTGGGGGAACCTGTTAGATGACTGGCAGGGAGTGGGGGAACCTGTTAGATGACTGGCAGAGAGTGTGTGGGAACCTGTTAGATGACTGGCAGAGAGTGTGAGGGAACCTGTTAGATGACTGGCAGAGAGTGTGAGAACCTGTTAGATGACGGGCAGAGTGTGTGGGAACCTGTTAGATGACTGGCAGAGTGTGTGGGAACCTGTTAGATGACTGGCAGGGAGTGTGAGAACCTGTTAGATGACTGGCAGGGAGTGTGAGAACCTGTTAGATGACTGGCAGAGAGTGTGGGAACCTGTTAGATGACTGGCAGAGAGTGTGGGAACCTGTTAGATGACTGGCAGAGAGTGTGGGAACCTATTAGATTACCGGCAGAGTGTGTGGGAACCTGTTAGATGACTGGCAGAGAGTGTGAGAACCTGTTAGATGACTGGCAGAGTGTGTGGGAACCTGTTAGATGACTGGCAGGGAGTGGGGGAACCTGTTAGATGACTGGCAGGGAGTGTGAGAACCTGTTAGATGACTGGCAGAGTGTGGGGGAACCTGTTAGATGACTGGCAGGGAGTGTGAGAACCTGTTAGATGACTGGCAGAGTGTGGGGGAACCTGTTAGATGACTGGCAGGGAGTGTGGGAACCTGTTAGATGACTGGCAGAGTGTGGGGGAACCTGTTAGATGACTGGCAGAGTGTGGGGGGAACCTGTTAGATGACCGGCAGAGTGTGTGGGAACCTGTTAGATGACCGGCAGAGTGTGTGGGAACCTGTTAGATGACCGGCAGAGTGTGTGGGAACCTGTTAGATGACCGGCAGAGTGTGTGGGAACCTGTTAGATGACCGGCAGAGAGTTTTATGACGGGCACATTGTTACAGCTTTCACCATAAAGGTCATTCTCCTAAAATATATTTTTTATACATTACGGAAGAGATTCGGTTGTGTGATAGATGCGTCAATATGTGGGTTATTTCAAGGGAAAAATTTAATGTATGTTTTCTACATTTTTCAGGATTTGATGCCCATGCGTAATCGCAGCTGAGTGACAACAAAAGAGAGAGAATGTTGGCAGAAGCATACGATGACACCAACGTGATAGTTTGTGGAATGATCAAGGTTTGCGTACAACTACAAGGACGGTGTTGGCAGTGACTTAAGTGACAGCATCAGGGCAGTGCTGGTAGCAAGGGTTACATTACACTTACATAGGACGGTGTTGACCGGATAAGTCTCAAGTGTCGAGAAACAGAACAGTCTATCTGGCGGATAACTGTAGGCACTGACCCTCACACGTCCCTGGTTCATCACGACTGCTGGCACTGACGCTCACACGTCCCTGGTTCATGACGACTGCTGGCACTGACGCTCACACGTCCCTGGTTGATGACGATTGCTGGCACTGACCCTCACACGTCCCTGGTTCATCACGACTGCTGGCACTGACCCTCACACGTCCCTGGTTCATCACGACTGCTGGCACTGACCCTCACACGTCCCTGGTTCATCACGACTGCTGGCACTGACCCTCACACGTCCCTGGTTCACCACGACTGCTGGCACTGACCCTCACACGTCCCTGGTTCACCACGACTGTAGGCACTGACCCTCACACGTCCCTGGTTCATCACGACTGCAGGCACTGACGCTCACACGTCCCTGGTTCATCACGACTGCTGGCACTGACGCTCACACGTCCCTGGTTCATCACGACTGCTGGCACTGACCCTCACACGTCCCTGGTTCATCACGACTGCAGGCACTGACGCTCACACGTCCCTGGTTCATCACGACTGCTGGCACTGACGCTCACACGTCCCTGGTTCATCACGACTGCTGGCACTGACCCTCACACGTCCCTGGTTCATCACGACTGCTGGCACTGACCCTCACACGTCCCTGGTTCATCACGACTGCTGGCACTGACCCTCACACGTCCCTGGTTCATCACGACTGCTGGCACTGACGCTCACACGTCCCTGGTTCATCACGACTGCTGGCACTGACGCTCACACGTCCCTGGTTCATCACGACTGCTGGCACTGACCCTCACACGTCCCTGGTTCATCACGACTGCTGGCACTGACCCTCACACGTCCCTGGTTCATCACGACTGCTGGCACTGACCCTCACACGTCCCTGGTTCATCACGACTGCTGGCACTGACCCTCACACGTCCCTGGTTCATCATTACACACTCAGCACAACACACACACACACACACACACACACACACACACACACACACACACACACAAACACACGGATAATATCACCAATGTGTTTCTAGCACCTGTTTACTGGTATAAACATGAGCTGTCTCGTACGAACGAAAAGGCCACTCGCAGTTTTCTCTATCCGTATGGTCCCGTGCTCTTAGCAAGACATCAATACATATTTCGAAGACATATGCAAACAGCTCGAAGTCAAAACAAATATATTAAACTATGGGAAACTTAGCTCTTGCTGACTGGAAAGCATATTAAGGCCTTACAGAGAACAATGTAGGACAATTAATAGAACTCGGGTATCATTCGAACACCATGAAAAATGGCAGCATTAGTGTGATCGTGGCAACATTGGCTAGAAATTCAGAGAGCAATTATTTGGCCAGCCATGGTGACGTCGGGACCAGCCGTGGATAGTGAGGCATGTCTGTAGTGCTGACACCAGCGCTGCGGGACCCCAGGAGGCCAGGATGAGGCACCATACACCCAAGAGACTCCAAGTACTCGCCTCAGCAGCACCCAGACACCCCAGGAGGCCAGGATGAGGCACCTTGAGACACTCAAGACACAGCTGCTGGTGCTGGTGTCTTTGGGAATTGTGGCAAGAGCAGGTGAGTTGTATATGTGTGAGTTGTGTGTGTGTTGTGTTGGGTGTGTGTGTGTGTTGTGTTGGGTGTGTGTATGTTTGTGTGTTTAGGAGTTTACCAGATCGGGTGTACACTTTCTAACTAGCTTGATCAAAAGGTTATCGTGGGAGAGATTCGGAGATTGGAGGTTTTAAATAAATTGCAGGACACCTAGGACATCAGGGAGGCTGACAACAGTGTGAGCATCAGACAACAGGCGGTCGGTGACCCCCACATCCTGATTTGACCTTTCCTGGAGTAGCCTTCTAGATAAAGGTAGCTGTCCTCCTCTCGCAGGAGTTCGATAGTTTTCCTTTTATATTAATGTAAGGCGAGGACCCACGGTTCCAGTTAGGAGGTCCAAGTCATCTTTACATTTGGTGGCTCTGTCTGGGAGTAGGACAACCTCGATTTAACATTTGGGGTCCTCGTCTGAGGACGGAGAGAATCCCTGAGGTCACATTTGGGAGTTTGTGAGGGGCAGGTGTGGGCCTCTACCGTACATCTGGGAGCTCGTTCAGGACGGTGAGGGTTCCTTCTACCTTACATCAGATAATAGTTTTGTATGTTTGTTAAAATACTTTTGGCAACCCTGCCCACACCAAGCTCTCACTGGGTTGGGGTGCCAACAAGTACTAGAAATATTATCCCCTCAAGAAACACAAATATCTGTTTGATTACATAACAATTCGATGCACTATGCACTATGCACTATAGGGGCGGGGAGGTTAATTTCCCATAATTACACTTACACAGCCTTCCCGGTTTGGTGCCTTCTTTTGATAATTACTTACTTCCCATAATTACAAGAATATTTATAATAAAAAGATTATTATTGTCTCAAAATATTGCCATCTCTCTCATATTTTCACAAATATTTAAATTACTTGTATTTTTTGGGTTGACATGGCCCCCTTCAACATATACATACAGAATACAACCAAAATTTGCTTCTTTTATTGTCGCTCTTTTGATGGTCTAACCATTCAGCTGAACTACAGTCTCCCAACAACACTTATCCCCTGAAGCAGCAAATGAATTGGAGATCATAACATATTTATTAGGCCTCGTCACTTTTGAAACTGAAATAAGTTTATTGAGGTAAAATCCACACAAAGGGATGAGGTAGCTCAAGCTATTCTCACCCCGTTCAGTACATCGTGTTAATATATACATAGACACACATCACAAACAATAAACATATTACCAAACATTCTGAGAGATAAACATATACATTTCTCCTTTACACAAGTAGTATGGTATCGTCACTCTTTGTAAGTCACATGTAGGATGAGGTGGAGTGAATGTTGGGCGAGACGGTAGGTGAGGCAGTGTATGCCCCTGGTCTGATTACCTTATGTCTGTTACAGGCAGCAAGGCGGTGTATGCCCCTGGTCTGATTACCTTATGTCTGTTACAGGCAGCAAGGCGGTGTATGCCCCTGGTCTGATTACCTTATGTCTGTTACAGGCAGCAAGGCGGTGTATGCCCCTGGTCTGATTACCTTATGTCTGTTACAGGCAGCAAGGCGGTGTATGTCCCTGGTCTGATTACCTTATGTCTGTTACAGGCAGCAAGGCGGTGTATGCCCCGACGTCAAGTTGGGCGGTCGGGCAGCAGCTGGAGACGTCAGAGGGTGAGGTAGAGCAGTACTCGCGGGGCGGCGTCCCGACCCTTCCCCGCCCACTTCACTTCCCCGCCCACGGTGAGAACCGGTTCAGTGTGGCCACCCAGCGTCACCAGTACTATGGCAGCTACCAACACCACAACGGCGACACCAATGCTTCCCCTCACCTGGACTATGAACTGGATCAGTCTTACCAGAACGAGGTTAATATCTACGAGTACTCGTACACGGAGAGCAGTGCCTATGTCAACCCCAATATGATGTACACTCGTGGTGGTGGGCGGCGTGTGGGTCCTGGGGGCAAGGTGGGCCGCCCACGGCGCCTGGGGGAGCGTCTGTGGTGGGCTGGCGTGCCCGTGCTGACTGCACGCGGAGACACCTTCCTCCCCAGGGGCGTCCCATCAGGGGTTGAGGAGGGGCGAGCACGAGCTGTGGTGACGGGCTCTCAGCACCATCACCAGGAGCCCATCAGTAACCCCGAGACCCGTGACTCTGAGTGGTACCTTCACGGTGCCAGCGGTGACCACAAACCCGCTCCTGATCTTCTGCTCCAGAATGATTCCCTGATTGGTATGATCAGAGTGCAGAAGTCGCTGCAGCAGTCACAGGAGACGGCCGGCTACGTGCATGACTTCCCTCCCGTGCCTGGCACCTCGGCTGCCCACCCACCACCCAGGCAGTGGGGAGGGTTCGACACTCTTCTCAAGATGATGAACCAGGCCGATGAAAGTGCACCAACCAAGGCATCCAAAGATCGTAACAGCACCGAGTATGGAACACCCATTGGCAAGAACAGAAATAGACAAGGACCCATCAATATCAGTATCAGTATCAGCAGCACCAGCAGCAGCAGCAGCAGCAGCAGCAGGAGCAGCAAGAGAAGGAAGAGCAGTGGTGATGGGTCCCAGCAGGTGTTGGCACATGTTGGTGATGAGGGTGATGATGAGTCCCACACACCTGTCACCACCACCGCCGTCCTGGGCTCCGTCATGCTCCTCATCATACTCGTCGTGGTGAGTCAGGTACTATCACTAACTCTTCCACTTCACTCACTCATAGTATATTCCTTGTAATGTGTCACAGTATATTCCTTGTACTGTGTCACAGTATATTCCTTGTACTGTGTCACAGTATATTCCTTGTACTGTCATAGTATATTCCTTGTACTGTGTCACAGTATATTCCTTGTACTGTGTCACAGTATATTCCTTGTACTGTGTCACAGTATATTCCTTGTACTGTCACAGTATATTCCTTGTACTGTGTCACAGTATATTCCTTGTACTGTGTCACAGTATATTCCTTGTACTGTGTCATAGTATATTCCTTGTACTGTCATAGTATATTCCTTGTACTGTGTCACAGTATATTCCTTGTACTGTGTCACAGTATATTCCTTGTACTGTGTCACAGTATATTCCTTGTACTGTCACAGTATATTCCTTGTACTGTGTCACAGTATATTCCTTGTACTGTGTCACAGTATATTCCTTGTACTGTGTCACAGTATATTCCTTGTACTGTGTCACAGTATATTCCTTGTACTGTGTCACAGTATATTCCTTGTACTGTGTCACAGTATATTCCTTGTACTGTGTCACAGTATATTCCTTGTACTGTGTCACAGTATATTCCTTGTACTGTGTCACAGTATATTCCTTGTACTGTGTCACAGTATATTCCTTGTACTGTGTCACAGTATATTCCTTGTACTGTGTCACAGTATATTCCTTGTACTGTGTCACAGTATATTCCTTGTACTGTGTCACAGTATATTCCTTGTACTGTCACAGTATATTCCTTGTACTGTGTCACAGTATATTCCTTGTACTGTGTCACAGTATATTCCTTGTACTGTGGCTCCCATACTCATGTGGATAACTAGGTTAACAACTACCACCAGCAGGCGGCACCGCTGGGAGAACAATGTGACACCAATGTGGATAACTAGTTATATTTGATTTCTCTTCGTCTTTGTGTAACTACAACCATATAGATTATATATAAATTTTGATTAAATATTTAGATTTTTATAATATATTACTGATAGCATTGCCTTTATATTTTCATTTAGTATTCACATACATCACTTAGTGATGCAGAGTGAAGAATAATCTTACTGGAAAGGGATTTTTAGTCAGTTCTACGTCAGCAAGTGGTAAAAACGCCCAGATACACACAGGACCAAGCCTAAACCAGTAGCCGTTAATTGAGGAGAATGTGATAAGATGATTTTGTCATGTTGAATGATTAGATAGATGATTTTGTCATGTTGAATGATTAGATAGATGATTTTGTCATGTTGAATGATTAGATAGATGATTTTGTCATGTTGAATGATTAGATAGATGATTTTGTCATGTTGAATGATTAGATAGATGATTTTGTCATGTTGAATGATTAGATAGATGATTTTGTCATGTTGAATGATTAGATAGTTGATAGGTTAATATTATTGGGTGATCCATAAATGTGCGGATGGTAGTATGATGAATTAATGAAAGTTTTAACACTTACGTATTGGTCAGCCTCACTAGCCAATAAATCCTTTCACACTTGACTAACTGGGGTGGTGACCTTCCTTGGAATTTCGCTGACGTAGCATAAGGCGAATGAATGGCGTCCTTCCTCGACGGTAATAGGTTCAACTAACATAACCCGCACGTGGCAAGCGCACATCCACACTACAGTTTTACAATACACACCAACCACTACAGACGAGTGTGATAAGATGGCGCTGTCACAACGTGACTGTGTACACCACACTATACTACACCAGGACTCCTGGTTCAACCTTGACTACTAGCGGACGTCTGGACACCACCTCCTGCCTGGGAGCCACCTGATCACGTTCTGTTTTCGCGTTTTGACTTTGCTACTGCCGTTTGGCATCCCTATTCAACGGTACGGTTGTACGACGCCAGGCGCGCACATCGCCTTGGGTCACGGGATTGTTGATAGATTTTGTTGACGTGTTCTGGCTGGTTCTCCCGGCGGGGTGACGGTGTTCGGGGCCGGCTTGGCCGAGAGGTGCCGGGGGTTGGTGGGTCTTGATGGGCGCCTGGTGTGCTCTCAGTCGTGGTGGGCGGCTGACTTCTGCTATACCGGAGGACACTGGATGACTTTTGCGTTTTAGTTGGGGGCCGAGTTTTTGGTTTTGCTACCTGGTGTTCTCTGTGTTGGGCGGGGCCGGTGCTTGTCACCCTGAGGGACTCCTGGGGCTCCCCAATCATCTGGCTATCTGGGTTTTTTGGCGTCACTTGTTTCGCGATTTGGCTTGGCGTTTCACCTTTCCAGGCTTCGCGATTAACCCTTTCCGGGTAGGCCGGGGCGCATCCGACCCCACCATCGTTGTCACCCCTAAATCAACAACAACTTATTTTCGTCTAATTTTGTTATAAAAAGATACTTTTTCAGAGTAAAAATGTTTTTTCATGTTCTACATTCAGGACCAATAATATAATTAGTAAATGTATCATATTTATTCATTACTAACATAATACTACGAAGCTTTGGGTAATTAGAGGGAGCGGTGGAGAACTGCCACCACCAGATCCACTCAACACCTGCCACACTACACTCACACCTGCGGCTTAAGACAAGAAATTTCCATACACTCGCAAATAGTGACAGAATCTTAATGTTACAAAAAATAATTAGGAGTATATGAATTGTATTACTCCAATAATTATGTATTTTTAAGACTTTTCAAAAATTTAATGACATCGAATCAAACTTTGAGTCATTTTTCAAGAACAATAATTTTACTAAAATACTTTCGCCTTTTTTATCATGATGCTGTTGAAAAAGGTTTATCAAGGCATTGTGAAAGTTAAAAAGTCTTCTCTGTTAAAAAAGTGTTCTATGTGTTGGGTGATATGTTTCTTAATGTGTTTTAAAACAGTCACCGGAGAAAAGTCATCATTTCAGGTGATGGTGGCACTGAGAGTGCAGTGGCGGGAGAGAGTGAAGGAGGAGGAGGCGTGGGGAGCACAGTCGCCCTCAGTACTCCCCGCCACCCCCGCCTCCACCAGCACCACGCCCCCCCTCAACCCTCACCACCTCCACCCACTCACACACCTTCAGGCTCAACCCATCAGGATTAAGGTCATCGTCTCTAATTATTTTGGTTCGTTTTTAAAATGATCAATATCAAAGCAAAGTTGGTTAAATTAATTTATTTTGGTCCCCATAGTATGGTGCGGAGCCACATAATAGCCTCAGGAACGGGATCTAATATTTTAAAGCTGAAGTTTACAATTGTGGTGAACAAGTTACAGATTCCACTGGCCTCAAGTTTTGTAATGGCTGTTTATCTGTAACTCAATAAGTATTAAAGTTGGATTAGTTTAATTATGAAAACCCAACGGGATAACGACGCTATGAGAGAAGATAATTATGAGATCAATACAGTGCTAAAGTGTTGTCATAAGAGTAACTTTAAAATTAGCCCAATCCGAGTTTAAAGGTAATGGTTTAAGTTTTTTAAGCAAGCAGAACATTCCTTCTGAATCACTGTATCGAGTTGTCAGTAACTGATCCGCTAGAACCAATTACAATCTGTGTAATATTAACCTCAATTTAATAAGACTATCAAAATCCTCAGATTAGGCAAAATTGTAATTAATTTTGTCAATAAAGATGTTAATAATAATAAATGTGTAATATTGTCAAATCCGATGATTCATTTAACCCTAGTTAAGCTTATAAGATTGGATCTTAAACCGTCCCGTGCTGTAGCTCAAACATATTTAACATCATTCTAACATAATAAATAATGTCTAAAGAACTACTTCAATAAATATTGATTTACTTAGGTGGTAGAATTATCTACAGTATTTTTAATAAGAATTTATTTTCATTGCAGGCAAAGGGTTTGCTGGAGAGGCGAGGTTCCAACACGAGCCTGACCCTGGAGCTAGCACCCAACTATGCTCCACCAGAGGTCCCGTCCCCACCTCGACATTGGTGAGCCCAACCCTCGCCCCATGTCTACTGCCACCTCATTCACAGCTCCGTAGCCTTAATATTACCAGTAGAAGTAGACGTGAACTTATAATATTACCAGTAGAAGTAGACGTGGCCTTATAATATTACCAGTAGAAGTAGACGTGGCCTTATAATATTACCAGTAGAAGTAGACGTGGACTTATAATATTACCAGTAGAAGTAGACGTGAACTTATAATATTACCAGTAGAAGTAGACGTGAACTTATAATATTACCAGTAGAAGTAGACGTGGCCTTATAATATTACCAGTAGAAGTAGACGTGGACTTATAATATTACCAGTAGAAGTAGACGTGGACTTATAATATTACCAGTAGAAGTAGACGTGAACTTATAATATTACCAGTAGAAGTAGACGTGAACTTATAATATTACCAGTAGAAGTAGACGTGGCCTTATAATATTACCAGTAGAAGTAGACGTGGCCTTATAATATTACCAGTAGAAGTAGACGTGAACTTATAATATTACCAGTAGAAGTAGACGTGGCCTTATAATATTACCAGTAGAAGTAGACGTGGCCTTATAATATTACCAGTAGAAGTAGACGTGGTCTTATAATATTACCAGTAGAAGTAGACGTGGCCTTATAATATTACCAGTAGAAGTAGACGTGGCCTTATAATATTACCAGTAGAAGTAGACGTGGCCTTATAATATTACCAGTAGAAGTAGACGTGGCCTTATAATATTACCAGTAGAAGTAGACGTGGCCTTATAATATTACCAGTAGAAGTAGACGTGGACTTATAATATTACCAGTAGAAGTAGACGTGGACTTATAATATTACCAGTAGAAGTAGACGTGGCCTTATAATATTACCAGTAGAAGTAGACGTGGACTTATAATATTACCAGTAGAAGTAGACGTGGCCTTATAATATTACCAGTAGAAGTAGACGTGGACTTATAATATTACCAGTTTTAGTTTAGTTCATTTATTATGCACCCCATACCCATCTTGTGGGCGGTAGTGGAAAGGGTTACAGAGGCACATAATGGGCTCAGGGACTGAACCCCACAATTCATTTAGCTAAGCAAGTTACAATCTTGATGAGCTAGTTACAAAATTCAATATAAGTCATCACATCAACAATGGGTTCGAGATCGACCTCAAGTACAGGTTCTAAATTAAGCAACTGACATATGTGGAGAGCTAGTGTTAAAATTGATATGTTTGTCCTGCACACCGCCCCCCATCCAGTGGGCAGCGGTGGATAGGTTACACCGCCCCCCATCCAGTGGGCAGCGGTGGATAGGTTACAGTCACTCAGTTACTACCTACAGTTAGCAAACTGGGGATATTTGGCTAAAATTTCTGGTAGCAGATCATTTTGAATGAAATATTGACACATCGCTGGAACATTGGTTATAGAATTGTCTCTAAATTCACGTATCTTTTCGCACTCCATCACATAGTGACGGAGGGTGTGCGAATAATTTTGTTGACACAGTTTACATTTGGTCAGGTCTACATCAGCAGATAATGAGAATTCCCAGAGATACTTGTAACCGAGTCTAAGCCGAGCAATAGTAACATCTAGAAGTCTGCTGATTTTATTGGATGATCCATAGATGTGTGGCTCCTCTTGCATGATAGTATGATGATAGATGGAATTACTGGTGTCAATTTCACTTTGCCTCAGATCTACAAGATCTTGTTGAAGTTCTCGGTGCACTGCTGCTCTCAGATTGCTCATTGACAATCCAAGGTTACACTCAACGGCTCCTTTAAAGGCTTCCAGTGGTGCGGAGAGAAGCAGTTTGATCTGGGTGTGGCCGGTGGCCGCTGTTGTAGTCGCCTTAAGACGATGCCAACGCTTATAAAGTCATCCGTTGTATTCTCTGCATACCCCGCTACTGTACCCGCCTTAACACTGGACGCGTGATCCTGTGGTCCCGGGTTCGATCCCGGGCGCCGGCGAGAAACAACGGGCAGAGTTTCTTTCACCCTGATGCCCCTGTTACCTAGTAGTAAATAGGTACCTGGGTGTTAGTCAGCTGTCACTGGCTGCTTCCTGGGGGTGGAGGCCTGGTCGAGGACCGGGCCGCGGGGACACTAAGCCCTGAAATCCTCTCAAGATAACCCCTTGTCCACCAAAACACTTAAGCCTTAAGTGACGTAACTTTGCAATTTTCTTGTGTTCCAAGATACAAGGCTCTTGGTCATCAGCATTATATTAGTACTACAGATAACGTAACTATCACTTGCAGCAGAGGTGCTCGCACTAGTCTTTATTATGCTTTTAGTAAAATAAACATTTAAACCAGAGTTATTTATCCATATCACTTTCCTTCAGCACGCCAGAGGAGTTCCTAATGACGGCGGGCAACAGAATGAGTCGAGGGCAGCTGCGCCAGTGTCTGAAGGAGGTCCGGGCACTTCACGCAGAGTTCTGGGAGATCCCACTCAACCACCCTGACAAGTAAGTTTACACACACACTGACCGATAGATTCATGATTGATGAAGATTAAGCCATCCAAAAGGTGACACGGGCATGAATAGCCCGTAATGGGTGGCCCTTTTGAGCCATTACCAGTATCATTAGACGATACTGGAGATGTGGAGGTGCGACTGTACCCTGCGTGACGGGAGATGCCTCCTGTGTGACCGATAGAGCCAAAGGTGAGGCTTAATACCTGACGCTCGACTCTGCATTCTCCTTTAAGAATAAGCTACGCCTGCGGCCAGAAGTCAGCAAGCGCGTCATTGAGCGTACAGATCGGCGTACATTTCATGACCCAGTGAAAGTTGTGAAAGTTTTGTGTGTCCGAGTATATTGTTTGTGGCCTCGTCCCTGCCGCAGGTGTGACATGCTGGGGGCGGCGTCCAAGAACAGGTACCGCACCGTGCTGCCCAACGAGGCCAGCCGGGTGCGCCTACACACTGAAGACCCGGCCTTGGAGTACATCAACGCTAACTACATCAGGGTGAGTGACACAGTTACAGCCCCGCTCCTGTGCCAGGTAAGTCCACTATGGGCTCGCCATAGCCCGTGCTACTTGGAACCTTTTGTTCCGAGTAGCTGAATCTAAAACAGCAGCAACAGGGTGAGTGCCTTTACCTCCTCTCACCTTACTGCTTACTTCTTTACTGCTTCATCTACTTCATCTTGTCTTACGCTTCCTGCTGGGATCTGCTGCTACTGAGCTCTCATCACACTTCTTCCTTATATTAACAAGTTAAGGTACACACAAGCAGCGTGTTGGTGGCCTGTTCTACCTGAAGGTTTAGAGTCTAGGACAAGAGTTGTTGTTAAAGATTTAGCTACTCCGGACGAAGTGTCCATGTAGCACGGGCTATGGCGAGCCCGTACGTCAAGAGCTTGCTAGGAGTTCATCTAGTATCTCCATCTAATCAAATCAAATCAAATCAAATGTTTATTTAGGTAAGGTACATACATACAAGAGATTTTACAAAGAGTGATAGATTTATAGATAGAGCTAGTACATACAATGCCTAAAGCCACTATTACGCAAAGCGTTTCGGGCATGAAAAAAACTTAAATGACTAAAGCTTAATACTAATTGAGCATAAAGAATCTCACATGGTGGTTAGACATACATGGACTTAGGACAAAGCATGTATGAGTCTAATACATTAGCATGTACTAACAGACTCAGGGCAGAGCACAAGAATATCTATCAATACACAGAACAAGAGACCTATAAGCTCATTTGTATGGATCTCATCTGATGTTTCCTTCAGCTGCTCTCAGGGGCCCCAATAAATTTTTTTTCGAAAATATTTTTTATAATTATTGCCATTTGATAGCCTAGATTATTAGCTACATTTTCAGCTGAATTTAAAAGAAACTGTCACTTCCAAGTTTTTATTTAATTTTTGGTCATCAGTACATGTCAACTCACATTGACAACCAAAGCAATCTGGCAATAATGTTGAGTTGCCAACTATTATTTTTTTGCATGACTTCTATCGTGATGAAGGCGAACCAGATCAAAATTGCAAATAACTACATTAAAACTCCTTGTTGAATCATGCACAGGAATGTTTTCAGAGAGTTCCTAAGAACCTTTGTGACACTGCCATATAGGAAGAAATACACGATGCTTAGTGAATCTAAGTCCAGAACTATAGTGCTTACAGACTGAGGCAGGGGGGGGGGGGGTTGAATTGAAGGGCTGAGGCAGGGGGGGGGGGGGTTGAATTGAAGGGCTGAGGCAGGGGGGGGGGTTGAATTGAAGGGCTGAGGCAGGGGGGTGTATTGAAGGGCTGAGGCAGGGGGGGGTGTATTGAAGGGCTGAGGCAGGGGGGGGGGGTGTATTGAAGGGCTGAGGCAGGGGGGGGGTTGTATGGGGACACACCGCCATCGTGACAGTATTGGGCAGCGCCACTCATCCTGTGAGTGGACACACCACCATAGTGACAGTATTGGGCAGCGGCACTCATCCTGTGAGTGGACACACCGCCATAGTGACAGTATTGGGCAGCGCCACTCATCCTGTGAGTGGACACACCGCCATAGTGACAGTATTGGGCAGCGCCACTCATCCTGTGAGTGGACACACCACCATAGTGACAGTATTGGGCAGCGGCACTCATCCTGTGAGTGGACACACCGCCATAGTGACAGTATTGGGCAGCGCCACTCATCCTGTGAGTGGACACACCGCCATCGTGACAGTATTGGGCAGCGCCACTCATCCTGTGAGTGGACACACCGCCATAGTGACAGTATTGGGCAGCGCCACTCATCCTGTGAGTGGACACACCGCCATAGTGACAGTATTGGGCAGCGCCACTCATCCTGTGAGTGGACACACCGCCATAGTGACAGTATTGGGCAGCGCCACTCATCCTGTGAGTGGACACACCGCCATAGTGACAGTATTGGGCAGCGGCACTCATCCTGTGAGTGGACACACCGCCATAGCAGCATGTACAACACTCCCCAATAGGAAGAAAACCCGCTGTGTTGTTCATCCTGTCACTTGTACCCAGACACAGCTGGGACTTGCTTAACTGTCTCAAGTGAACAGCTCCTCAAACAAGAAGATTAACATCTGTCAACCCTAAAAAGCTTACGTTATCTTGCGGGTGTAAAATGGGGAAATCTTTTAAGAACAGTATCAATATTTGACAAATAGTGTTTTCCTAACTCAAACAATGTGGGGTTTATTATTCTACACATATTCCTAATGTCTCTCAGATGTTCACATTCACGTAGATAGTGGTCAAGGCGGTGTCCATCACTCTCACCACAGATTCTGCAACTAAGATGTAATGCCTTTATTGTTTTCTCTGACACTTTATTGCTATTTTGTGAGCTTATTGCTTCTATTAGTTTGTCTTATTATTATCATTGTACTGTGTGAATGACGCCCCGCGTGTTGGAACACTTCTCAGTACATGTATATGAGTAATGCTGGAGAGAGTGGCGGCGTGTCTGCAGGGTTACGACGGAGAGGAGCGGGCATACATCGCGACGCAGGGGCCGCTGCCTCACACAGTGGCGGACCTGTGGAGGCTGGTGATGCAGGAGTGTGCGCCCGCCCTCGTCATGATCACCAGGCTCAAGGAGAAGCAGAGGGTCAAATGCGAGCCTTATGTGCCCACACACGCAGCCACATATGGTGATATTAGTGTCACTGTCAGGCAGATTATACAGAAAAGTGGCTACACCATCCGTAGACTTTTGCTCCAGGTGAGTTGCCTGCTAAAAGATTGTGAAGTATGTGACCCCAAAGGTTTACCAACCCTTTCTCGCACTTTCTTAGTCAATATTGATTTATTAAATACGTGCATATGTGACATCCTAGTTTACCTTGAAAAGCTTCATAGAAAACACCGACCTTACCTAACCTTCTTAGTATGTTAAGATGAGCATCTTATTGCTTCGTAATTACAATTATTACTTAACCTATACCTATAATAGGTTAAGTAATAATTGTAATTACGAAGCAATAAGATGCTTATCTTAACATACTAAGAAGGTTAGGTAAGGTCGGTGTTTTCTATGAAGCTTTTCAAGGTAAACTAGTATGTTTAGTGTGTCACATATGCACGTATTTAATAAGTCAATATTGACTATACGAAAGTGCGAGAACGGGTTTAGGTTTACATATGCTTAGTGGTCATCCCATACATATTAATTATAACGTCAGATCTCACGTGTGTGTTCGTCTACATTTATGACAAAGTTCTTAAAGTTATCGAAGTATAATCATTTAATAATTTGTGCATAAGAACTTGAAAGTGATAAAAGATATCTTTGGCATATACCACGATGATGATATGATATATTTCCACTAGCGAGGAGAGGAGGAGCACGAGACACTACACTTCTGGTACACTGCCTGGCCCGACCACAAGGCCCCAGCGGAGGCTGACCAACTCCTTGCCATGGCACTACAGGTTGAACACATCAGAAAGGTCAGTTCTTCCTACTATGGCAACACCATCATTAATTCATTTAAATTCCTTAATATACAATCGCATCTATTTTTCTGTTTTAACCAGATGTGTTTTTCTAGCATCAATCTTACCAAACCAGACTTAACCTAACCTAACCAGACCTAATCAAAATTTAACCCAGTTTTAAGTAAATCTCACTACATTTACCCCAATTATAACACACCAAAACTGAATTTAACTAAATGTAACTAATAATATTACAACCAAAGCTGAATTTCACTGTTAACGTCAAACCATTTCCAATATACAACACACCCTCAATATTGCAGCACCTCGTAGCCTGGTGGATAGCGCGCAGGACTCGTAATTCTGTGGCGCGGGTTCGATTCCCGCACGAGGCGGAAACAAATGGGCAAAATTTCTTTCACCCTGAATGCCCCTGTTACCTAGCAGTAAATAGGTACCTGGGAGTTAGTCAGCTGTCACGGGGTGCTTCCTGGGGGTGGAGGCCTGGTCGAGGACCGGGCCGCGGGGACACTAAAGCCCCGAAATCATCTCAAGATAACCACCCCGGCCAGATTTGATATACCAGATTCTGCAAATATAGTTTTAGAATGTGTAGTTACAAGGCATTTTTCCACATGCCTTGTAACTACAAGGCAAGTAACTACAAGTGAAGTATCGCCGAGGTAACTAAAAGTGACTATGACGGAAGTAGAGCGACAGAAAAAGAAAATTACTTCGTTTTAGTCAACATTCCCACTACTGTCCGTAAGTTTCCCACAGTCTGTTACCTCGCCACAGCCCGCCAGGTAGCCTAGCTAACATTAGGCTATGCCCCAACCCTGAAAAGCCTACTAATGTTCATGTTCAAAATGCTTTGATCCTGCACATGTGGTTTTGTGCTGTTGTGCTGTATTTCCAGGAAACATTGCCTTTACTTCAAGTTCAAGTTCAAGTATGTTTATTGAGATAAGCAAGAAATACATCTCAAAGGGATAGAGTAGCTTAAGCTACTTCTACCCCCCCTTGCCTTTACTACTCTCGTTCTCTACTCTTATCGACATCTTTGTAATTATCAGATGTCTGTGAGGGTAATTTTTGCTAACTTAAATATTTATATATAACACTTATAGTCAATTACTGGTTAAAGTTAATCACAAAATTTGAGTTTAATAACAATATTTGTGGTGCAGACGGGTGATGGAGGGCGCCAGGGTCCCGTGGTTGTCCACTGTTCAGCTGGCATTGGTCGTAGTGGCTGCTTCCTGGCCATAAGCATCGCTATCAACCAGCTGCAGGAAGAAGACTGCGTCGATATCCTCGGCATCGTCTGCCAGATGAGGCTAGACAGGTAAGAGTTGTTTTACGGTAAGATGTCAACACCATATACAAACTAATTGGTCAATTTTTGACTCGATCACAGTTATTCAGTTGCACACAAGATGACACTGCCACTTGCGACAATGCAAGGTGATGGCAGATTTTTCCCTAGTCATTGGAAAAGTGGCTGCTAACTCGACCAATGGCTAGATATGACACTGCTGCTGCAGATGGATCATTGGCCGATAGAAAGCTGCCCAAAGCCTAACCTAAACTAGGCCTATCGGAACAACCTCGACCTAATATGTACTTTATGAGGCCTTGGGTTAGGGTTTAGTCACCGTTATTTCTCTGCCTCATTTTGTGCCGCCAACTTGGAGACAAGAGTCATCAGTTGATCCAACATGGAATATTGTTCATGTTTAGAAGGATAGGCAGGGTTGATGAGGATAGGCAGGGTTGATGAGGAGGATAGGCAGGGTTGATGAGGATAGGCAGGGTTGATGAGGAGGATAGGCAGGGTTGATGAGGAGGATAGGCAGGGTTGATGAGGAGGATAGGCAGGGTTGATGAGGAGGATAGGCAGGGTTGATGAGAAGGATAGGCAGGGTTGATGAGAAGGATAGGCAGGGTTGATGAGGAGGATAGCTAGGGTTAATGAAGGATAGCCAGGGTTAATGAAGGATAGCCAGGGTTGATGAGAAGGATAGCTAGGGTTGATGAGAAGGATAGGCAGGGTTGATGAGAAGAATAGGCAGGGTTGATGAGAAGGATAGCCAGGGTTGATGAGAAGAATAGGCAGGGTTGATGAGAAGGATAGCCAGGGTTGATGAGAAGGATAGCTAGGGTTGATGAGAAGGATAGGCCGGGTTGATGAGAAGGATAGCTAGGGTTGATGAGAAGGATAGCTAGGGTTGATGAGAAGGATAGCCAGGGTTGATGAGAAGAATAGGCAGGGTTGATGAGAAGGATAGGCAGGGTTGATGAGAAGGATAGCTAGGGTTGATGAGAAGGATAGCCAGGGTTGATGAGAATAGGCAGGGTTGATGAGAAGGATAGCTAGGGTTGATGAGAAGGATAGCCAGGGTTGATGAGAAGGATAGGCAGGGCTGATGAGAAGAATAGGCAGGGTTGATGAGAAGGATAGGCAGGGTTGATGAGAAGAATAGCTAGGGTTGATGAGAAGGATAGCCAGGGTTGATGAGAAGGATAGCCAGGGTTGATGAGAAGGATAGCCAGGGTTGATGAGAAGAATAGGCAGGGCTGATGAGAAGAATAGGCAGGGTTGATGAGAAGGATAGCCAGGGTTGATGAGAAGGATAGCTAGGGTTGATGAGAAGGATAGGCCGGGTTGATGAGAAGGATAGCTAGGGTTGATGAGAAGGATAGCCAGGGTTGATGAGAAGAATAGGCAGGGTTGATGAGAAGGATAGGCAGGGTTGATGAGAAGGATAGCTAGGGTTGATGAGAAGGATAGCCAGGGTTGATGAGAATAGGCAGGGTTGATGAGAATAGGCAGGGTTGATGAGAAGGATAGCTAGGGTTGATGAGAAGGATAGCCAGGGTTGATGAGAAGGATAGGCCGGGTTGATGAGAAGGATAGGCAGGGTTGATGAGAAGAATAGGCAGGGTTGATGAGAAGGATAGCTAGGGTTGATGAGAAGGATAGCCAGGGTTGATGAGAAGGATAGGCAGGGTTGATGAGAAGAATAGCCAGGGTTGATGAGAAGAATAGGCAGGGCTGATGAGAAGAATAGGCAGGGTTGATGAGAAGGATAGGCCGGGTTGATGAGAAGAATAGCCAGGGTTGATGAGAAGTATAGCCAGGGTTGATGAGAAGGATAGCCAGGGTTGATGAGAAGGATAGCCAGGGTTGATGAGAAGGATAGCTAGGGTTGATGAGGAGGATAGGCAGGGTTGATGAGAAGGATAGGCAGGGTTGATGAGAAGAATAGCCAGGGTTGATGAGAAGAATAGCCAGGGTTGACGAGAAGAATAGCCAGGGTTGATGAGAAGAATAGGCAGGGTTGATGAGAAGGATAGGCAGGGTTGATGAGAAGGATAGCCAGGGTTGATGAGAAGGATAGCTAGGGTTGATGAGGAGGATAGCCAGGGTTGATGAGAAGGATAGCCAGGGTTGAAGAAACTATAATGACAATCTGCTGTCACTTCTCTGACAATATGACACTACCAAACTCATCAACCACAAGTTCAAATTAAATCTTGGTTAACATCAACACGTGATTAATCATCAATTATTATTTATTTGTTCAATTTCTAGGTGCGTTTTTGGTTTGAATAGATGAGTACATATATTATCTAATTAAAGTCAGCAATTTATAGCAAAACAGTAATTATGTTTTCGGTAACAGGCCAAATCTTGAACAATTAATAAAGCTAATTCAAGTTCATCTAATGCTACCTTTTTTATTACTTATTATTTACCTACATTTATTATTTGTATTAAATGAACTAATTTACTTTATATAAGCTTCATTATAAGGAAATATATACATTATTATATATCTTATACACCCTGAGAATAATATCCATGGGAATAGTGTATTGGATAGGATTACTATATATAGGATACACTGGATAACCCTAATATTTAAGATTCATAATGCTTAGCCTAATAATATTCAGTGGAAGTTAATGTTACTAACTTATTACTATTTTCCGTACTAACCTAAATTTTGTTAATGTACTTAATAATAAATATTAATATATGAATATGACTGCACTTGCAGCTATTGCATAACACTAATGTGTAGCATACGTGTGCATGTTAGACCTTGTTATCAGGAGACTAAGATGGGTACTTGTGGCAGGGGCGGGATGGTGCAGACGGGCGAGCAGTACGAGTTCATCCACCGGGCCATGGCGCTCTATGCCTCCAGCCTCCCCTCTCACCTCAACACCAAATGATCAACACCACACACGCCTCCACTGGGAACCTCACCCGTCACACTCCCGCCACTAGCCACCACGCTCTCTACCAGAGTCTGAAGAACTGACGGACACCACAAGCGTCTTGTCAGCGCTCTGACACGGCCACTGTGTCGGTGATGACATGCAGTGGACCACCAGGCGGTCCTGCATACAGCCGCCACATTACGTTCAGTGTCCGCTATGTGTAACATTCACGTGTATACTACAGTAATAAAGTTGTGCAATAAATGAAAATGCATTTGTGGCAGACTGTGATGTGGATAGCCTACTTATCTTGTATGACGGGAAGATATAATTTAAAGCCGTGATATGATGGACTTAAACAAAATATGATTAAATTCTGAAATGAATGAAAACAATGGTGGAAATATTGATGCTTCTCGTAGCTGGTTTCCATGTTTGAGTATATATTATTGCATCTGTATATATGCACACAACATTAGGTATACCAGAACAGAAGCATAACTGGCATATTATGAGACTGAACTGTCACACTCTCAAAATTTCATTAACATGTGTCAGTTTATACATCACCAAGAGTGCATATTGCTGGCATGCTGTGTTAGCTTATACACTGCCCAGAGTGCATAATGCTGGCATGCTGTGTTAGCTTATACACTGCCCAGAGTGCATAATGCTGGCATGCTGAGTCAGCTTATACACTGCCCAGAGTGCATAATGCTGGCATGCTGTGTTAGCTTATACACTGCCCAGAGTGCATAATGGTGGCATGCTGTGTTAGCTTATACACTGCCCAGAGTGCATAATGCTGGCATGCTGTGTTAGCTTATACACCGCCCAGAGTGCATAATGCTGGCATGCTGAGTCAGCTTATACACTGCCCAGAGTGCATAATGGTGGCATGCTGTGTTAGCTTATACACTGCCCAGAGTGCATAATGGTGGCATGCTGTGTTAGCTTATACACTGCCCAGAGTGCATAATGGTGGCATGCTGTGTTAGCTTATACACCGCCCAGAGTGCATAATGCTGGCATGCTGAGTCAGCTTATACACCGCCCAGAGTGCATAATGCTGGCATGCTGAGTCAGCTTATACACTGCCCAGAGTGCATAATGGTGGCATGCTGTGTTAGCTTATACACTGCCCAGAGTGCATAATGGTGGCATGCTGTGTTAGCTTATACACTGCCCAGATGGCATAATGCTGGCATGCTGTGTTAGCTTATACACCGCCCAGAGTGCATAATGCTGGCATGATAGGTCGACTTATACACTGCCCAGAGTGCATAATGCTGGCATGATAGGTCGACTTATACACTGCCCAGAGTGCATAATGCTGGCATGATAGGTCGACTTATACACTGCCCAGAGTGCATAATGCTGGCATGATAGGTCGACTTATACACTGCCCAGAGTGCATAATGCTGGCATGATAGGTCGACTTATACACTGCCCAGAGTGCATAATGCTGGCATGATAGTTACCTTATACACTGCCCAGAGTGCATAATGCTGGCATGATAGTTACCTTATACACTGCCCAGAGTGCATAATGCTGGCATGATAGTTACCTTATACACTGCCCAGAGTGCATAATGCTGGCATGATAGTTACCTTATACACTGCCCAGAGTGCATAATGCTGGCATGATAGTTACCTTATACACTGCCCAGAGTGCATAATGCTGCCATGATAGTCAACTTATACACTGCCCAGAGTGCATAATGCTGCCATGATAGTCGACTTATACTCTGCCCAGAGTGCATAATGCTGGCATGATAGGTCGGCTTATACACTGCCTAGAGTGCATAATGCTGTCATGATAGTCGGCTTATACACTGCCTAGAGTGCATAATGCTGGCATGATAGTCGGCTTATACACTGCCCAGAGTGCATAATGCTGGCATGATAGTCGGCTTATACACTGCCCAGAGTGCATAATGCTGGCATGCTGTGTCAGCTTATACACTGCCCAGAGTGCATAATGCTGGCATGATATATACACTGCCCAGAGTGCATAATGCTGGCATGATAGTCGGCTTATACACTGCCCAGAGTGCATAATGCTGGCATGATAGGTCGGCTTATACACTGCCCAGAGTGCATAATGCTGGCATGATGGTCGACTTATACACTGCCCAGAGTGCATAATGCTGGCATGATAGGTCGACTTATACACTGCCCAGAGTGCATAATGCTGGCATGCTGTGTCAGCTTATACACTGCCCAGAGTGCATAATGCTGGCATGATAGGTCGACTGGAAAAGTGAAATTTATATTATATAAGTATCTAAGATTATTTACATAAACTATTATTTGAAAGAGAACTTATGGAAACTTTGTATTGTTGATAATAATTTTAGAATTTATCCTCGTGGTTCGTTGGTAATTTATATAAAAGTTGGGAAATATGAAAAAGTTGACGAAGAAACAGCTGAGTGACCATTGGAGTGGCAGTTAAGGGCCTCATTAACCACTGTGAACAACACAGCCACAGTCCTTCACTAAGTGTAACTGCTACTACCTAAGTGGTTAAAAATTTGGTGTTTTAGGAGCTCAAGGAAAGGCAATCTTGGCGGGATATATCACCCACGACCATGGAAGTGTTGTCACGTCCACTACCCACCGGGGTGAGCTCTCCGGCTGTACACACACACACGCCGCGCGGCCCCAGCACTAGGCTACACACACCAGACTAGTGTGGAGGTCCTCTGAGCAATGTGAGGTAGGCAGACTGGTAGGCATACCCACAGGTGTGGAAGGTGTTCCCTGGCCACAGGTGTGGAAGGTGTTCCCTGGCCACAGGTGTGGAAGGTGTTCCCTGGCCACAGGTGTGGAAGGTGTTCCCTGGCCACAGGTGTGGAAGGTGTTCCCTGGCCACGGGTGTGGAAGGTGTTCCCTGGCCACGGGTGTGGAAGGTGTTCCCTGGCCACGGGTGTGGAAGGTGTTCCCTGGCCACAGGTGTGGAAGGTGTTCCCTGGCCACAGGTGTGGAAGGTAACCCCTCGTTACAGGTGTAGAAGTTTGAAAAATATATATAACTGGTTAATAACGAGAAATCATTGAGGTCAATGAGTGGTGGTGTGACAGTTATGGAGTGTGTGTGTAGTTGTGGACACCAGCTGGTGTGTGTGTAGTTGTGGACACCAGCTGGTGTGTGGTATGAGGACACCTGCTGGTGTGTGGTATGAGGACACCAGCTGGTGTGTGGTATGAGGACACCTGCTGGTGTGTGGTATGAGGACACCTGCTGGTGTGTGGTATGAGGACACCTGCTGGTGTGTGGTATGAGGACACCTGCTGGTGTGTGGTATGAGGACACCTGCTGGTGTGTGGTATGAGGACACCTGCTGGTGTGTGGTATGAGGACACCTGCTGGTGTGTGGTATGAGGACACCTGCTGGTGTGTGGTATGAGGACACCTGCTGGTGTGTGGTATGAGGACACAGCTGAATTTAGACAAATATTGCATGATAACATTTAATTTTTGCGAGCTGCAGGAATAGTTAACTTTATACAAATCTTCTATGAACACGTCCACACACATGTTTGGTCTTGTCTACTGTGTACCCTGGTCTTGATCTACTGTGTACCTTGGTCTTGATCTACTGTGTACCTTGGTCTTGTCTACTGTGTACCCTGGTCTTGATCTACTGTGTACCTTGGTCTTGATCTACTGTGTACCTTGGTCTTGATCTACTGTGTACCTTGGTCTTGTCTACTGTGTACCCTGGTCTTGATCTACTGTGTACCCTGGTCTTGATCTACTGTGTACCCTGGTCTTGATCTACTGTGTACCCTGGTCTTGATCTACTGTGTACCCTGGTCTTGATCTACTGTGTACCCTGGTCTTGATCTACTGTGTACCCTGGTCTTGATCTACTGTGTACCTTGGTCTTGATCTACTGTGTACCCTGGTCTTGATCTACTGTGTACCCTGGTCTTGATCTACTGTGTACCCTGGTCTTGATCTACTGTGTACCTTGGTCTTGTCTACTGTGTACCCTGGTCTTGATCTACTGTGTACCCTGGTCTTGATCTACTGTGTACCCTGGTCTTGATCTACTGTGTACCCTGGTCTTGATCTACTGTGTACCCTGGTCTTGATCTACTGTGTACCCTGGTCTTGATCTACTGTGTACCCTGGTCTTGATCTACTGTGTACCCTGGTCTTGATCTACTGTGTACCCTGGTCTTGATCTACTGTGTACCCTGGTCTTGATCTACTGTGTACCCTGGTCTAGATCTACTGTGTACTCTGGTGTTGATCTACTGTGTACCTTGTTCTTGATCTACTGTGTACTCTGGTCTTGATCTACTGTGTACCCTGGTCTTGATCTACTGTGTACCCTGGTCTTGATCTACTGTGTACCCTGGTCTTGATCTACTGTGTACCCTGGTCTTGATCTACTGTGTACCCTGGTCTTGATCTACTGTGTACCCTCCCCCTCCCCGCTCAGCTCGTTGTCGCCGTGTGGGGGCTTAGTGGGATGGCTGCCGGAGTGTGATGCTCCTTGGGACAGTCCTCTGTCCTTTTCTAGCCTTGTGCTCCTGCTGCCGTCCTCTCCAATTCTGCTGGGCATCTTTTCCTTTTCCTTCTGTTTCGTTTTTCTCCCCCTCTTCTCCTATCTGCTTGCTGTTTCCTGCCGACCTTTTGCTCGTTCTGGTTCTTCCCTTGGACTTCTTCTATTTTGACGCCCGGGTGCTTGAGGAGGCATACTCATGCACCCGTAGAACTGCAGTACCCGACGTCGAGAGCGAAGAGAACCTTTTATTGTCAATCCCCACTTCGTCACTGAACCCGATCTCGACGGACTGTCGGTTTCTTAAGGTGGCGTTTGTGGGGCGTATACTCGCGATGCACCCCTAGGAGGCCCCGACAAGATCGGCGATGGCTTCTTGTTGGGTGTCCTGCCTCTAATTGTGGCTCCATGGTGGGTGTAGGGGCACATTCGTGAGTGAATTCTTCTTTTCGTCAAGATGATAACCCCTGTTTCGGCTTCTTCTGGTTTACCTTCTCAGGCTCGTGGGGTGGGCGACCAAGCCCCCGAGTCGGTCCGTATTGGAAGACCGGGCTCTGTAGCCTCCGCTGCATTGGGCCCCGACCTTGCTCCTCCTTTGGCCTCTCTGACTCCTTCCTCTGGCTCCCCTCCCTCCTCTGTGGTTGGGTCGAGCCCCAAGCCCCCAGTGGTGACTACCTCGTCCCCTGGCGCGGCTCCTTCTCTAGTTGTAACTACTGCGCCTTTTAACCCCTCTCTCTCTGGGGGTTCTCACCGCCGTC